AAGGTTGCATAGTATTCCATTGTGTGTATGTACCATAGTTTGGTTATCCATTCCTCAGTTGATGGACACTTAGGTTGTTTCCATCTTTTGGCTATTGTAAATAGTGCTGTAGTGAACATGGGTGTGCATATGTCTGTTCTTTAGTACATATACCTAGTAATGGAATGGCTGGGTCAAATGGTGTTTCTAATTCCAACTTTTGAAAGCAGTATTGCTTTCCACAGTGGTTGTAGCATTTTACAGTCCCACCAGCAGTTTATGAGAGTCCCCATCTCTCCATATCCTTACTAGCATTTGTTATTTTCTGTCTCATTGAACTTTGCTACTAACGCTGGAGCAAGATGGTATCTGGTTGTTTTGATTTGCATCTCTCTAATGACTAATGATTGTCAATACAGGCATTATTAAGCTGAACGATTGGTTTTGAGATGACTTCAGGGGCCATTTTTGGTCTAAGGTTTAAAGATTATCTCAATTTCAGCTACTTAATCTTTGAGAATTCCCATTTGATAGATTCCAGTTCTTTTCCAATTTTTGCTTCCCTTGGATATATTAATCTTTGCTGTTTTAAAGTCCATCTCCAATATAAGTCCAATATATTAACTCCTTTTGGGTCTGTTCTTCTTAGTATGCTTGGTAATTTTTGAAGAAATTATGTATGAAAAGCTGTAGGAGCTGTAGACAAATTTTCTCCTCCCAGAGAGGATGTATCTCATGTGCTGGCAGACCGCTGGATCAGCATGACACCTCACCTAGGAACTGAGCTTATGCAATGTGTAGCATAAAGGGGCGCTGCCTCTGGGTCCCTCAGCTTGTAGATTATAGACTTCCAGCGGCCCTGAGAGCCTGGGGTGTTTCAGACCCCACCTCGAGGTCCTCACGTCCAGTTCTGATTTGCCAGTATCCTGAGCCTGCTGAGGCCCTGCTGCGCCGTTCAGCTGCTGCTGTGGTTTCTCACCTCGCACATCCTAAGAACTGACAGGTGCCTCAGAATAAAACCAGCATAGTGTTAAGGGTCACTTCTCAGCACCTTCCTTCTTCCAGGATCTTTGCCCAAGCTGCTTTGGAAGCTCTCCAGTGACTTCAAATAGATGTTGTCTGCATTTTATTCAGCTTTTCTTATTTTCATTGGGAGTACAGTACAAGTTAATATGTCATAGCTAGAAATGGAATATGAGTATTTTTTAACTCAAATTATGGATGTCTTTTTGACAGTATTTTCTTTTCTTCTGCTCTATTAGTTTATTATCTTAAAAAGATTACCCCCCCAAAAAAACATTTAATATATCATCTTTATTGACAACAGCCTCTGAACACGTAGTTGGAGTTGTCCTGAAACACTGAGATAATGTCACAAGTGTATAATTACCCTTACCACCCCATGGGAGCTGCCATTCTGCTTCGTAACAGTTTGGCTCAGTGGGTTTGTGTACCAGAACGTCATTGGCTGAAGCTCACTCTGCCTGGGTAGTTTTAAGGTATTATCAGCTTTCCCTCTGGCACACACGACTGACCCACAGCATTTCCAAGTGCTACCTGTCACTATCAGTGACAAAAATGCTGCAGTGTGTTCCTCTACTTTCTATGCCAGACATGCAGTCCCTCTAGGCTACAAATATTTGGGTTGGGTCAGGTCTGTTCACACTTAAGAACAACACATCCGTATAGTAGGAAGGGGTAGGGGACACCCCACTGCTTGTGTTGGGTTTCAGGAGTAACTGTGAGCCCAGGCCAGCATTCCTCTGGTCCTCTGTGCCCAGGTCTGCTCTAGCCAATAGCTTCAGAGACACATGCTCCTGGCTCTGAACATACACTGTGCTCAGCCCTCACCAGGCCAAGCACTTTCAAGCTGGAAGAAGACATGCCAGCCCTATCTTACTATGTACTAAATATGAATCCTTGGTTCTTTTATATATGTTTAGGCAGATGCATATTACCTACATTAAAGCAGTCAAAGTCCTTTACTTTTCATACATAACTGAGTCTTTTCTCACAGTTGGGAGGCCCAGAAAGATGCATGTTTTACAGCTACTTTTAACAGCATTAAATTTGAGATAAAATCACCTACACTGTTTATCTCAGAATTCTCCCTCTAGAGCTGTCCCTAATGTTTAGTGATTGGGTGTTATTTTGATATTAAGTTAAAAGCCAAATCAAAATAAACAAAACAGTTACACCACCCTTCAATTTGCTGTTCTTTCTAAAAAGAAAGATTCTAGGGACTCCAGGCTGTTGCAGCTTTATACCAATGTCTGATTTGGAATGACATCCCTGGAATATACACTGGAATGACTGAAGTCACTACACAGGAAGTAGAAATGGTTCAGGAACTGTAGCTGTTCCACTTGATAAAGCTGCGGTTTGCTCTCATAAGTCAAACCAATATCTGCTGCCTGCTAAAATTTACATTTAATAAGAAAATTTAATCTCTACTTGGGATTTTCCCCCATGAGGCCAAGAGCAGAGACTTCCCATTCACACTTGAACAGGCACCCATCTAAGCACCAGCACAGAGAGGCATTCAATGTCTATGCCTGAATGAACGAACACTTTGCTACTTCCTTTTGATAACACCGGGTATCATGCTAGGAAAGAAAGGAATGTCACTTTTAACCACCAAACTCCAAGATTAGAGGATTGGCTCCTTTTCAAATTATATACACTGCTATCTATCTTACAAACCTAGATTATCTGCCAGATGGCATAGTTAAGGGATTAATGTTTAAACACCTTTTTATTATCCTTTCCAATTCAACAAGAGCCCTATATACCGTCTGTTTTAAAGGCAAACTTGAAGACCAGCTCAATTTGTTTGGCTGCCATTGTCCTTGCTGAGAAGAATCTCAGGCTTGTAGGCAATGGATTTTGTTTCACAGTCACTGCATAGCTGCAGCTAAACATGGAAAATTTTTTGGCCGGCTTTTTAAAAACTCTGAGTTAAGGTACACAAAACAGGAAATGATATCATCTTCATTAAGACTCCATTGGTGTGTCTGAGCTCCTGCTCCCAAAGGGGCCACTAATGGATGAGCTTCTCACATTACCAAGAACAAGCCTCTCTCGTCTTCCAAACGCTTCGTTTACTAAAACACAAACACATAGTTAAGAAACTACCAGATCAGGAAATTAAACACCTATAGTATAAACAAACACCAAAACACATAAAGAAGCAATGAGATTCTCTATCCTGGGGTGGAAGTTTCATTTATGAAAATATATTTAAGTAACATTTTATAAATGGGAAAATGAGTAACCAACTCAGAAGTCCAAGTTAAAATTCTGAATGAAGTCAGCCATGCTTTAAAACACTCTATTATTATTATTTGTTCTTTACCTTGCCTTGTCTTGGATTTAGCTAATCCTGTTGGTGACAGATGTCCCCTCCCCCACACCAGTGACTCTAGCCTTCCATTGCTCTACTTCCGTTTCCCATTTCCAACTTCTCCGTATCATGACCAACACAGAACCTTTCGGACTTAGGGTCTCAGATGTATACAGATCAGACCGACCCAGAAAGAAATCCCAGGATCCTTCTTCCACAGGGGAGGGAGGGATCAGGAATCAGAGTGGGGACATACCCTCCCAGTTTAGAGGGCCAATAAGACTACTCAAAGTACAAAATAAGGAGGCAGGTTTGCATGAAAAGAGGAGTGGCCCCTTCACAAAGGCTGGACTTGGTAGAAAGGAGTTGAGAAAAAACACAGATTTATTCATATTGGTAACTGGGAAGAGGTGTGCTTTTGAGAACACACTGTATTTCCTTCCACACAAGTCTTCCCATTTTAAGACTCAAACTCTGTTATAAATAGGTATTTTTAAAAATGAACTTACAGTGCTTGATGTTATTTCTTAAGCAGACTACAGGCTGGGCTCTGATCTACCTTTGCACCCACCTGTCATAGTCAAGCCACACATTCTGTGGTCGCCCTCAGAGAGTTCACTCGGACGTGGGAAACTAAGGATCCTTACCTGAAGAGACTGAACTGATGTCCCAGACCCGGAGCCCTTCTTTCTGACCTCCAAAGGCATAAATAAATGGCAGATCAGGGCAACATGAAGAACAAAAGAGGACACCCTGGGGGAAAAAAGCAGAAAGTCAGTGAGTTTTATTCTCCAAAGTCCTAACGTGTCAATCTCTACTCCTGTATCTAAATACCTATGGGTTTGAATGTTTACGCCCAACCAATTCGAACCTGGTCTCTCAACCCCACTGCAAAGCCAGCTCACACTGGTGCTGTCCAGTCTATTCTGACTCACAGTGACCCCAGGTGACAAAGAACTGCCCAGAGGGTCTTCTAGGCTACAATCCTTCTGGAAACAGATTGCCAGGTCTTCAACAGAGAACAGAGGGCTCTCCTTCTGGTTAGCGGGTGAGTGCATAACCACTGCGTCACCAGGACTCCTTAGATAATAGTATATGCATTATAGGAAATAGGAACAAGAAAAAAAATTACTTGAAAAGAACCACCGTTGATGTTTTGGGATATATTCTTCTATATAAACAGTAAGCATGGGATCGTTCTAATAAAAATTGCTTCTATAACCTGTCTTTCCATAAATAAAATTCTTAATGGCTACAGTGTTAACTATGCCTTGAATCTAATTTATATAACTAATCCCTTACTGTTCAACTGTCTGGAACAGAGATTGGCACACAGTAGGTTCTCAGTAAATATTAACTGAATGAATTCAGAGTATTTCCAGTTGCTCTGCTACAAAAAGCACTCAATTTTAACGGAGTTGGAACTAGCTGTGCGCAGAGATAAATAAACTGACCCTAATACTTGCAGTCTTGAGCCTAAGGCCTCAAAGATTTCCTGGGATGATCCAGATTTTAGGGTCAAAAAATGTGGTCACTGTACTTGTGACTTAGAAAACTCTCTCCCATCCTTCTTGGACTTAACATCAAGCAATGGTTAACCATGTTAGTTGCAAAAGGAACCAGACTGTCACTGATTCCCCTCAAAACTTTCTAAGTCATAAAACAAGACAAAAGTCCCATCACCTCTGACAGAGCTCAAAATGAACTCTCCTAACACAACTGGATTTTTCAGTTCAATGATTTCTGGAGAAAGACAGGCAATGCGGGTCAGAAGCAGTAAACAGAAACAGGAGGCCTCGGCAAAGTGTTATTACCATTTTCATGTCCCTGGAGTGAACTAGACTTGGCCTGTCTCCTAATATGTCCCAAATCTTCACATACTTGTCTGCTGACGCAGTCACAAGACAGCCCTTGATTTGACTGCTTAGATCAAGACCTGGACGGAAGGTAACATGATAGAGTGTCACTCTGAGGTATAGATTTACTTTCTTGTAATAGAAACGAAGAAATACATTCTCGCTCACCAGAGATTTCATCATTGTGTGCATTAAGTGTAAAAATAGGCTTATCCGAACGTGCATCCAAATTATATACAAAGCCGTCATCTGTACTGGCCTGAAAAGAGAAAAAGATGGGTAAGATCATGTCTTAGGACTCAAATTTAACACTGGGTTAACAGCCTAAAACACAGTACAAACCGACTACACATCTGACTTGCCTGTGGCGTTTATTAAAAATTAACACAGACATAAAGAATCTACTTTTGAATATAATGACTTGGATGAATTCTGCTGATTAAATCTAGTAGCTACCATAGTGAGCAGTATGGGTTCAGGATGTGGCAACACAGAGGTGGTAGTTACGTCCATGCGAGTACAGGGGGTCCTCCCTGAGAGTAGAATTCAAAGCAGTGGGTTGAGGACAGGCCTGGGGAGCCAGCTAGCGAGAGCTCAGGCTGAGGAGGGGCTCAGTGGAGGAGTAAGAGTCAGAGAGGGAGGAAGGAATAAAGGAGAATGCCAGGGAAGTCAAGGAAACAGCTTCTGGAAAAAGGAGGGATCGACACTGTCAATATTGTGGCAGAGAGATTCACTCAGATGAGGCAAGAGACAACAAATAGTCAAGGATGGAATAAAGGGAGCTGGGCCTGTACACAGGTCAAGGGCAACAACCCGCACAGCAGACAGAAAGAGGACAATGGACAGCGACGTTGAAGGACAGGCTGGGAAGGAGACCAAAAACGGACGGGGAGGGAAGACCCTCTGGCTGGAGAGGAGGCGGCCAACCATTTCATTCTGATCCCTTCCCATTTCCCTAAACAGTACCAACAACAATTTGTAGCAAATAACCTCAGGGAATGTGTGTCTGACCTCTGAGACCCCAAGTATAACACAGCGTCCAGACACGCTGGGACTTCACTCCTAGGAACCTTAAGGTGTATCTGCCTTAAGGCAGCCTGGCTGGGCCCAGCGTGCTCCTCTATCAATGGTGCAGAAGGCTGAGTGTATGTGTTCTCAGAATCATCACTGCAGAAACCTGTTCACATCTTTGAAGAAAGCTCCTTCTAAAAAACTTTCCCTCCTTTACAAAGCAATATACATGCACTTCAGACAAATGAGGGCACATCTGGGTGTATCCCACTAGCTGTAATTACTCTTTCCTTCTGGGTCAGAGTTGGGATTTTATTTCTCCATGAATTGGAATGTCAGGGGATCTCTGGGATGCTTCATGGAAAAACTACCATCCACAAACATTAAGGGCATTTACAGAAAGACTTTTCCTATCTGGGAGACAGTGCTATCAATTAAACAGGTGAGCATTTTCATCACTAGAGCTCTGTTTAAAAAAAAAAAAGAGAGGATTATCTTCTTGGACTGATTTAACCATAAAAAAAGCAAAGCATGCTTAATATTAAAAAAAAACCTCACTGTAATAAAATGATCAAGACAATAAGGAAAATAAAATGTGCCACACACTAGAATTATTAGAAATTAGCAAAACATGGTTGACATATTCATCATTTTTGTGGATATGATTTATTATCTTCTTGTGGATGACCTCTGGTGCCATAGTGCCTAAGGCATCTGACTGCTAACCAGAAGGCTGGCAGTTCAAATCCACCATACAGTCCTCAGAAGGAAGACTGGGCAATCTCCTTCCATAAAGATACCGCCTCAGAAACCCAAGGAGGGGTCGCTTTGAGTCAAATTGACTTGAAGGCAGTGAGTTTGGTTTTGGTTTGGTGGATGACCCATTATTCTCTTGTTAAAGAAATGAATTTATTATTTTTGAAACCTAACACCCAAACATTTTACACAGTTAATACAGAAAAAACTTTTCAGCGTCTCTCTACGTTAGAATTAAAAAAGTCATTAGTAACTTGGAAAGACAAAATAGTAACATGCACTCTCTTACCAAAAAATGACAAGGCGAAAAGTGATTCCAAGTCACCCTCTCAATCTGCCCACTGAATCGCCACATCCGATGGCTTTCATCTGGACTTCGGCAGTCATACAAAGCCACTGACCTGGACAGTCAGGCAAAGTTACATTTAGAAGAACCCAATCTTCCTGTAAGTTTTAAGTTAATTTAAATGAAACTAAGATAATGAAATGATATTGAACTCAGGCCTCAATTATTTATAAAGTCTGTCTTAAAGTTCTCAAAGTAGAAAAAGTTGAGTTTCATAGATTGGTGGCCTGTGGTCCTGTCAGCTGAAGGCACTACACTCTGCACATAAAAGTAGCTTTTCCAGGTTGAATTCTCCACTTAAAACATGAACCTTCTATGTGCAAAAACCCAGGACAATTTCTAATTTCCTTCTCCCAGGTGGTGCTCAGGAGCTCTGGTAGCACAGTGGCTAAGGCACTTGACTGCTAACCAGAAGGCTGGCGGTTCAAACCCACCAGCCACTCCTCGGAAGAAAGGTTGGGCAATCCTACTTCCGTAGTGATACTGCCTCGGAAACCCAAGGAGGGGTCGCTATGAGTCGGAGCCGACTCGATGGCACATAACAACAACAGGTGGTGCTCAGGGCCAGGTAACTCTTAGCCACTCTTACCCTCTACAAGCAAGTTATTTTGTGTTGGGAAGAGCAAGGGACACAATTTTATAATTCTGTATGAATCACAACTAAAAACTGTAAACATACGAGTCTTCAAGTGGACAGGGAATCAGAAGACTGTAAGTCGGTTTCTGTTTCTACTAGCTCTTTCCCACTTTCAGCCACAATCTGGAAACAGGAGCACACAATGGCTGACGGCTGTAGTGGCCCCTAGCCTTCACCTCTCTTACAGCCAAGACTGTGTCATGTTACTTGGGAATCCTTCCTGTTGTTTCTCACATGGAATAGAGTATTTCTCCACTCCATGTGACCCGTTCTGGCCAAGAAAACAAGGCTGGTGTACTAGTTCTGAGCCTAGGCCTCAAGAGGCCTTCGTCTCTCTGCCTGTGCTTTGACTTTGTCATGCGGAGAACACGCGTGGGGCCAGCCCACGGCTCCCAAGAGGATGAGAAACACGACGGCAGGCAAGTCTCCCTGGCTCAGCCTAGACCAGCCAAGACTGGCAGAGCCACGAGCTCTATCCAGCTGAGGTTAGCAGAACCTCAAAGAAGCCTAAGAAATCAATGTTTATCATCGTAAGCCACTGAATTTTGCGTTGTTTCAAGCAATACCTAAGACATGCTCTAAAAATAAAAGTTGCTGCTAGTTGCTAGAGCTCCATTATCATGACGGAACTGAAAGAGCAGGAAAAAAAAGGGGCAGAATTGAAAAGGAAAAAGCAAGTACTACTAAACACTGAGACCTGGGGTACACCTCAGGATCCATTCAGTCTAAGCATCAAGTGACACTTTTTGGATTACTTCAAGGGGTACAAACAGAGCAGCAGTAACCCCCGAGGCTTGTTCTTACTTATCATATGATCCAGAAATCAGGGTCTGTGCTTCAAATGGATGAAACTGCAGAGTCTGGACCTACAGGGAGGAAACAGAACCGAAAAGACCTGCATGTCTGACTGTGGTAGAATTACCTAACGTATGGCTGGCACCAGTGTGGCAGTGCCTCCATAAACACTTCCCTTTGAAATTCAGTACTATTTAAAGAAATATAAATGCCTATATGGCATAATCAAACCCTATTCCCCAAAAAAGCTGGCACGCAGAAGACACTTCCCTCATGTAGCATTTCCTAAACTGTATTTGACAAAACACTTATGTCCCTTAAATGTTAAAAGACATTCAGAAGACAAAAGGCGACACAGGCTGAGAGGTCAGGGGAGCAGTCATACGACACTGGGGCATCTCCGTGTGTGCAGAAGGCCCCAGTGTGCGTTAGCACATTGGATCCCTGAGGAGTTCTGCAGTTACGGGATCCACCAACCCTCACCTTCCTTGATGAGCTAGCACGGCCCTTTTTTGAAAGCTCTATAAACATGTTACAGGGTACCGAAGTTCCTACTCACTTCACCTTTCTGCACCCATTTTTGCATCTCTAAAATAGAGGGGTCTCTATGAGTCGGGTTTGACTCGGCGGCACATAACAACAACAACAAAATAAGTATCATACAGGTGTTCCTGAGTTATGAACATCAACTTATGTACAACCCACAGTTATGAACCAACCCCTGTAAAGCTTACTATATTAAAAATCTGAGGTACATACAATGGTCTGTAACAATAAACAGGTGCTACTTTGTGACATGTATCAAAAAATTATTATTATTGGGGCAGGAGTACATGGAGGGAAGGACACAGGAAAGAGGTCACTATGGGGAAGAAGTGGGAGGAGAGCTGTTGCATTGTGGTAAATTGTAGTCAGTGTCATGAGACCAAGTGTATGTGAGCTGCTGTACGGAAAGTGAATCTGCTCTGTAAACTTTCACCCAAATAACCATAAAAAGAAAACAACAATAATAAAAAACATTATCATTGCATTATGTTAAAAATGTTTTAGTGTATCTAGAAGTGTTTAATGTTTTTTATGCACAGAAAGGTACACTATATACCAAGACAAACAATTCACTAACTGACATAAGATATGAACCAAACCATACCTAACTGTTTTGACTTACATACAAATCTTAAAGATAGATTTAGGAATGGGAACTCATTCATAATCCAGGGACTGCCTGTACCTGTCACAGTGCTGTGTGAAGATTCAGTAAAATAACAGGTGAAAGCACTTTGTAAACCAGAAAAAAAAAAAATCTGTGTGTAATTTTAGCCAAGATCTATCCTAGACTTTTAGAATCCCTTCTATTCACTAACCTTGTCTGTATGTACAACCAGGCTGGCTGCTGGTATCCCCAAGGACATGTCCCACAGAATTACAGTGTTGTCAGCAGATGCACTTGCCAGCACATTTCTGAGAAAGGGAAGAAACATCAGGTAAACTTTTAAAAATCAACAGCATTAAATATAAGAAACAAATTCCATGTACAATAACATCAAACAGAATAAAATATTTAGGAATAAATTTAACACAAGAAGTGTAAGACTTGCATAATGAAAACTACAAAATATTTTTGAAAGAAACTAAAGATGTTTGCTATAGTAATCCTGACAGTGTGGTACTGGCACATGGACAGGCATACAGCTCAATGGAATAGAACTCATAGTCCAGAAATAAACCTTCACATTTCAACCAGCTGATTTTCAACAAGGGTTCCACAATTATTCTATGTTCAATGATAAACAGTCTTTCCAACAAATGGTTCAGGGATGACTGGCTATCTTCATGCGAAAAAATGAATCTAGACCCCTACTTCATACCATGCAACCTTCCCCCGCAAAGAAAACCCCCAAAACTCACAATGGATCACAAGCCTAAACTGCAAACTAAAACTATAAAACCCTTACAAGAAAACACAGTTGTAAATCTTTGTGACCTTAGGTTAGGCAATGGTTTCTTAGACACAACACCAAAACCACAAACAAAAGAAAACATAAATGATTTCATCAATAGGAAAAATGTTTGTGCTCCAAACAATACCATCAACAAAATAAAAAGACAACCCACAGAATAAATGTTCATAAATTATATATATAAGGAACTTGTATCTAAAGTATATAAAGAACTCTTACAACTTGATAACAGAGAAATAATTCAGTTAAAAAATGGGGCAAAGAATCTGAATCCGTATTTCTCCACAGAAGATACACAGAGAGCCAAAAGGTACATGAAAAATGTTCAACATCATTAGTCACTGGTGGTGTTAGGTGCCATCCAGTCAGTCCTGCCTCCCAGGGACCCTGTGCCCAACAGAACGGAACCCGGCCCAGTCCTGCACCATCCTCGCAGTTTTTGTTGTGCTTGAGCCCATCATTGCAGGCACTGTGTCAGTCCACCTCGTTGAGGGTTCCCCCCTTTTCACGGACCCTCTACTTTACCAATCCTGATATTCTTCTCCAGAGACTGATCCCTTCTGACAACATGACCAAAGGAGGTGAGATGAAGTTTGGCCATTCTCACTTCCAAGGAGCATTCTAACCAAACTTCTTCCAGGACAGATTTGTTCATTCTTCTGACAGTCCACGGTATTTTCAGCATTCTTCACCAACACAATTCAAATGCATCAATTCTTCTTTGGTCTTCTTTATTAATTGTCCAGCTCTCACATGCATATGAGGCTATGGAAAATACCATGGCTTGGTTCAGGGGTGTCTTAGTCTTCCAAAGTGACATCTTTGCTCTTAAACACTTTAAAGAGGCCTTTTGTAGATTTGCCCAGTACATCAATTTGATTTCTTGGGTGCTGCTTCCATAGGCATTGACTGTGGATCTAAATAAAATTAAATCCTTGACAACTTCAATCTTTTCTCCGTTTATCATAATGTTGTTTACTGGTCCAGTTGTTGGGATTTTTGTTTTCTTTCTGCTGAGGCGCAATCTATACTGACGTCTGGAGCCTTTGATCTTCATCTGCAGGTGCTGTGCTACAAGTCTTCTTCACTTTCAGCAAGCAAGGCTATGTGTCATCTGCATATTGCAGCTTGTTAATGAGTCTTCCCCCAATCTTGATGCTGCATTCTTCTTCATATAGTCCAGCTTCTTAGATTATTTGCTCAGCATACAGACTGAATGAGTATGGTGAAAGGCTACAAATCAACACTATAATGGGATGCCACTTCACATCCACTAAAATGGCTATAAGGAAAAGGAGAGCAATAACAAGTGTTGGGGAGAATGGAGAAATCAGAACCCTCATCCACTGCTGGTGGGAATGCAAAATGGTACAGCCACTACCGAAGGACCTAGCAATTCCATTCCTAGGTATATACCTAAGAGAAATGAAAGCAGGTCCACATAAAACTTGTACATAAATGTTCACAGCAGCATTATTCATAAAAGCCAAAAAGTGAAAACAACCCAAATATCTACCAACTGGTGAATGGATG